ATGTTTTGAGAATGATGAGGGCAATGAATGTACAAATGTGCTTTACACAATTGATGTGTGCATGGATTGTGATAAGAGTTGTATGAGCCCCTAATAAAATGATTTTTAAAAAATGTAGGTCCTCACTGTAGTCGGACTACATCTTCCTTTTAGGTTAAAGTCCTCAATAATGTATCTGACGTCTAAAGAAGTCTAGTGGCTGCGACAATGGTTCAAACGTAAGAGCTGGGAGGATGGCCCAGGACCAGGCGGTACACAGGGTCGTTATGAGTCAGGACCAACTCCAAGGCATCCAACAACAAGACAGAATTCGAAGGCAAATGTTTCTTTCATGTATATTAATTCTTCCAATTTTGACGTAGGGTTTACAGAATAGAATTGAATTTCAGGTAAAGGGCATATTCTTTCTAAATGCATAAACTAAAAACAGACTAAATGCCAAGGAACTGGGAAATGATTGCAATATGATGAACTACAGTATATACTCATGTATAAGCTGAGTTTTTCAGCACATTTTTTATGCAGTTTTTTGTGGTATAATTAGGTGCCTCAGCTGATATTAGGGTCGGCTTATACTCAAGTATATATGGTAATCATTCAGCCATGGGAAAAGAAAAAAGGACCAGAGAAAACTTTAAAAGATATACTGAAAGTAATGTTAAAAGGCCCTCGTGGTGCACTGAATTATGAGTTGGGATACTAACCACAAAGTCAGCAGCAGTTCAAATCCAGCAGCCACTTCTCAAGAGAATGATGAGATGCTCTATTCTCATAAAGATTTGCAAGCTCAGAAACCCACAGGAGCCGTTCTACTCTGTCCTATGGGGTCACGGAGTTGAAACTGACCCAATGGCAGTGAATAAGATTGTTAAATGAAAAACATAAAACATAGTTGTGTCGTCAGTAAGCTGCATCAAACTATGTAAAGATGGAAGCAGGCTTGAGAAAGCAGGCTGAGGTGAGAAGAAAATGGTCCACCAGAAACGACCTGAAGTCTGGAAGGTCCTCATTAACATCAAAAACATACTCAACTTCTCCAAGAAGGAGGGTCAGTGGAAACAAGGCGAAGGAATGACAGTCAAGTGTCTCCACTGTGGCTCCGACAACAACTGTGTGGCTGGGGGTGGGGGGTGGGGGCAGTGTTTCCCGCTGCCGCACAGACGTTCACCAGGAGTCAGCGGCTGACAACCCAATGGCATTAAACAGAAGCCACATCCCTAAAGTCACCACCCGTCTGGCACTTTGTTGTACTGCGGTGACTTGTGTGTTGCTGGGATGCCGGAAGCCGTGCCATCAATTTTCCAATGCCAGCAGGGTCATCCACCGGGGCAAGTTTCATGGAGCTTCCAGGTTCGGACAGACTGAGAAAGGGCTGGTAGAGAAAGAACAGTCTGAAGCCGTGCTAGATGACAGGCCCCTCAGGCTGGAAGGCACTCAAAATAAAACTAATGGTCACAGAGATATGGAAACAGGGGGGGCCAGAAATTCAAGCCAGATTCAGAAGGGGAGACAGAACAAGAGACAGCACTGTTGAAGGCAGAGGGATGTTAACTGAAAGCAGAAAATACCAGAAAGAGGTGTACCTGTGTTTTATGGACCGTGCAAAGGCTTTTGACTGTGTGGATCAGAACAAATTATGGATAACATTGAGAAAAAAAGTGAATTCCAGAACACTTCATTATGCTCACTTGGAACCTGTACAAGGACCAAGAAGTGTTCATTCAAAAAGAACAAGGGGGATACAATGTGGTTTAAGATCAAGAAAGGTACGTGCCAGGACTGTATCCTTTCACCACACTTATTCATCTGCAAGCTGGGCAATTAAGCCAAGAAACTGGACTATGAAGAAGATGGAGACATCAGGACCAGAGGGAGGCTCATTACCAGCCGGCCGTATCCAGATGGCATGCCTTGGCTCACTGAAAACAAGGGCATTTAACGTAATTACTAAGGAAGCGCAAAGGCTGCAGCCCTGCAGTATGGACTGCACCTCAACAGCCCTGCAGTATGGACTGCACCTCAACAGCCCTGCAGTATGGACTGCACCTCAACAGCCCTGCAG